AAACCCCGCTAACTCGAACAGATTTTCGTTTCCCTTCAGAGTTCGAGTTAGCGGGGTTCTACTGTACTTATTTTCTACTCAGGTTATCAGAAATGTTTAAGGACTGACCTTTGGTTAATGAGCCGTTAAGCATGTAATATTGAGCTTGGAAGCCGGGTGCCATATTTGTAGAACGATCCGAGTGGTAACGCAGCAACAAGGACGAACCATCCGATAGAATCGATAATCCCGTCCTTTTGCCGCATATCCTATCTACTTGCTGTCCTTTCTTGATGTCAAGATAAAAACGACTGTGAGAACAAAACAAATAGTTTCAACCTCACTACATAAAAAAGAGGACAGACTTATGCTCACTCAAAATATAGTAATTACTTTCAGTAACCAGATCAAAGTGGCTGTGAGCCAATCAACTTGGAAATGGATCGTCGGTAAACAGTGGTTTTTAATCCGTAGGTCGTATATAAGTTAATTATCGAGGCATAGTTAAGAAATAGTGCAAAAACGTAACAGTAATAGAATACATAAGGTGAGGCAGCACAGTTGAAAACATTCATGAAGTTATCGGTAACCCATATCCGAGACGTTATCACAAAGAAATTACCGTTTCTTATTCGCCGATCACCAAAGCTAACTTAGCCCTTCTCACTGCATACACTAATCAAGCTTTGATTGAATCCCTCCAAATTCCACCATGGTTATGCCCTAGGGAGGGCATGATGCTTTCTGTTCTCTTCGTTTAAATTCCCGTGTTTTCTCTCGATCATTGTCATTTTGCCGGCGTCCCGATGGAGGAAGCTTTTGTCGCCCCCAAACCCCTTCCCTGGTGCCAGTGCTATCCTCACTTCTCGCTGCATGTAGCTTATCTGCCACAGTGGTCGTGGACTCCTCCCATAGCTTAGTTTACCGCGATGTGGTAATGGGTATGAGGATGAATTACAGTTTGTTTGGTTGTTCGTGATAATGTTAAGGCGGGTAACTTAGCGAAGTGAACATCTATAGTTTTGAGTCTGAAGCATCGCGCGCGCTAAAGAAAGTTTCCCGGAAAGGCATCCCCAAAGGGGACTGTGACGAAGCTAATCTTTTCGATAGGTCAACGAATCAACCGCTTTTTCCGCTGTGTTTACCGTTTTGTAATTTCACTAAACATACGAAACACGTTTCATTTCTCTCAGTTGATCATCTAATGAATCATGTGACTTTCTTTGCACTGCTGGACATTTTGCGCTCCAATCAGCGGACATTTAAAGTATCCCGATACAGTTGTTTTTCTGGACCATACCAAGCATTTTCAATCAGTTTTTTTGACAGTCTTCCGTTAATCGGATCGATATGAAATTACACCACTATTTGGAGATAGATTGAAGATTGGTATAATACATTTCTTAAGGCAATCGATATTTCCATGGAAACGATGAACAAAAAAATTGAAAACGGTCAAATACGAATTCCGCGCGAACCAGATGTCATATGAAAAAGCTAATGCCAATGCCTTAAGCTATGGTGTATGCCAAGTAGAATATACAAGAATAAAAAAATTATGTATGTTTAATCTAGAGTACGTCGCAAAAAAATTTCAAATCATACTTTTTGCAACATAATGAATGAAAAATGAACCGACAGTTGAACACTGTTTTGATCACATTCCTCCAAATAATACCAAAATGCGTCTTGAAGTTTTCTTGTTCGCGATTTCAAAAACGAGACTTTTCCTTTTAAATTCTCGGGTAATTTTTGATTTTTAGTGCTTTTTGAAATAGCTGAAACGTTAGTAACGCTTTGGTGATAATATAAGCAGTTTTATTCCAGAGATTTATTAATATTGAGACACTGGAACACTTTTAAATTTATCAGTGAAGGAGGCCCTTGAACCGACGAAAAAGTTCACGATGTACAAAATTATACCAAAATATTCAAATCAGTGCCTAGTGCATTCCAGCGGTGGCGAAACATTGTGTTGTCATCGACGGCGCTATTGTTTTCCGTTTTGCATCGTGGAGGAATGCAATGCAGAATGATTAGCATAACTTAGCCTATTTTTTTTTACCTTGAGTTTGGTAGGCAATTTTCTTGTTGGTTCATACACCGGTTCAAAATTATAGTAGAAGTGATTGTAAGAACAAGTCTCGTTCTTGAGATCGCGAAAATGAAAACCAACAAAACTTCCATGGCTTGGAAACATATTTTGGTAATAATTGAAGTAATTTCATCAAAACAATTTGCCGGTTTATTTACTCGGTGCGCAGGAGCCCTGCTATGAGGCGAAACGCATTGTTCGAGTTCTCCTTCGTTCTTCTGTCCGCCGGTTTTTCGTCTAAAAATTTTAATGCGCACAGCTTTAATCCTTCAAAAATTTATTCAGCTCATCAGTCGCGTACAGTCTAACCTGTATGTAGATTAAATTGTGGGTGTTACAGGTTATATGTGAAATGATGTGATGTAAGAATGTAAGAACAAGTAGCCTGACCTTGTCTACAGAGGAAGGAGCCCGGTGGTAAATTAGCGTTTTTAGGAGTCTAGGAGTCGTGATAGTCGGAAACTGGTTTCTGGGTTTTGTTTTCTAGGAAGCAATCAAATTTAGATAATGCATTTTTTTTTTTAATTTGGAAGAAACTAGGTCACTCTGCCGCCTTGCTGAAAATGAGTAGTGGATCTATTCTTGTTGAAACAAGGAGCAGCAAATGAACGGTTGCATTGAAACAGGTGAACTGTTTGCATACATATATAATCTCTTACCCTTCAAGACAATATTTAAACTTCCAATTTGCTTGCTTCAATTCACACCACATGCTTCGACGATCAAAATTTACAAGAGTGGAAAATTTTCTTACCTGCAGTTCCACGAAGAAGGTAAATGGAAACTTGTGAACGTGATCAGAAGTATCGTGTAGTTCTCGGGAGCAGAGTAACTCCATACGCAGTCACTAGCTTCAACGTGGTAAGGGAACCCAGGAGAGACAATTTCGCCAGACCGTTTAGAAATTGACCGCCCACACACTTAAACCACCAAAAAAATATATTTCAAAAACAAAACAAAGCCATCTTTGTCCTCAAAAAATTATAAGAACAACCAGTTATTTTCTATGAACGCCCCAGAAATTAAACCGAAAATCGAAGACAAACTTACAAAACTGGTTGTACTTCACTTACAAGTTTTGATCCAATAGCCATACGACCGTGGACCTTCTCCCATAGTTGTAAATGCGGCTATCCATATGCTATACCAAGTGTCTGGATCTAAGTCAGTCAATTCAACCTGTAACTGGTCTGGTCGCACAGTGACATTTCTAGTTTGATAGTTTCTGTGAGATAAGTAATACACTCTGTAACCTCGAAGAAATAATGCCCCGAAGTCGTCTTGTGACAATCTAAACCAGCTTACAGAAGCTCCCTGATTGTCCAAGGCCACAACGGTTTTAAGCCAAGGTGCTGCTGCGGGCACTGCAAAAGAATTATAAACGGTGCAGTTAGTTAAAAAAGTACCGACATGACAACCTTTAGTCATACAATATTCGATTAACTTGAACTAAAATATAGATTTAGCCAAGCCTAAAAACGGAGCTCCTGATTACAAAAAGTTAACCCGACTTGAGTCTGCGATCCAATTGAAAACCAGTACCTAGGCAGTAGCCAATTTAAAAAAAAAACACGTGACCTCGATGAGCTCTAAACCTGAGCCCGCAATATGGACAAATGATACTCGTCAGCGGATACCTTATTTTGACAGGTGTCAATTGACCATAACATGAAATTGATGTCCAATATAAAAGAAGTGCGCTTTAAACCGAGGCTGCATGTTCCAGTCGACCTATTAACTG